AGTGAGGGAATTAAAGGCTTGCTCCATCAGACCAGGCAGCACATAGACATTATCACGATTCAGAAAAACATCTGAGAAATGGTTTCTTTGATAACAACATACTTTTGAGTTCCTATTTGGATCAAATTGCAAAGGAAATTCTACACAGAATCTTTATGCTGAATTTCCTCCAAAGATTGCCACAGTAACCAACCCCTCCCTAAACAATTTCCTTTCACAATGTAACTTTCCCATCAACTTGCTTTGACAACAGAATGTAGCAGAAATGACAGTTTGGAGTTTGGTATTCATACTGTCTTGGAAGCCAGATTATCGTGGAAATGATCTTTTATTCCCATTTATTTTTTTTTGTGTGTGTGTGGTGTATGTGTATAGGCATGTGTGCATACAGAGATCAGAGGATACTTGCAGGACTCTGTTCTCCCTCTTCGGCCCTATGGGACCCAGGAATCAAACTCAGGTCATCAAGCTTTGTGGCAAGCACCCACACTCATTAAACCACTTTGCCGGCCCAGGAATCTAAATTATCTTGCTACAGACATGTCATACTCAGGAGTTACAACCAACCTCCGGACATTTGACTGAGGTGACTAGGCCATCCAAACCAGTTAGTCAGACTGCATATGCATAATTTACCCAAAGGAAAGTCCATAAGAAGAACCACCTAACTGAACATATCCCAAACTGCTCTCTCATAGAACTGGGAGTAAATCAGTGACTACTACATGAATTCGGTACATTTTGGAGTGGACTATTATCCCTTCCATCCCCCCAATCCTTAACCCTCTCTGGAAATCTAATACAGCCATGATGAGTGGATTGTTTTATTCAGATTTATTAAATAAGTAGCATATGCAAGGCATCAGGCTGACTGCAGAAAGTGAGATACAATGTGCAAAGCATGACCAGTCTTCAGTAAGTTAACAATGTGTATCAGGAGGTAATCAAATGCAAGAGTCATAGTATATAACTACTACATTGACTAAGCATTAAAAAACAGAAACATTTTAGCTTGGGGTGCTAAGAGAGTTCTTTTCTTTCTTTCTTTCTTTCTTTCTTTTTGAGATGGTTTTTCCCCCCAACACCATTTATTAAAGAGATTATTGCTATACTTTAAAAAGTGACATGAAAGACATCATGCCATAGAGCTCGTGTCGAGGGATTTTTAAAAAATTTTTCTTAATTGATTTTATTGAGCTATACATTTTTCTCTGCTCCCCTCCCTTTTTCTCCCCTCCCCTTCAACCCTCTGCCATGGTCTCTATATTCCCAATTTACTCAGGAGATCTGAGACCGGGTTTCTCTGTGTAGCCCTGGTTGTCCTGGAACTGAATTCACTCTGTAGGCAAGTAGACCAGGCTGACCTCGACTCAAAAATTTCCTGCCTCTGCATCCCAAGTGCTGGGATCAAAGGTGTGTGTCACCGGCGCCCGTTAGGGAAGCTTCATCAAGAAGGTAAAATCAGAAAACCTTGAAAGATTTTGGTAGTGAGATGGAAGGATAGGGCACTCTAAGTAAATGACCTAGAACGACTGTCCAAGGAAAAGGACAAAGAATCTGAGATACCCCCAGTTTTAGTTAGAATATTGTATAAACATACAGGAGATGCGGGCACACCGTTCTTCATTCAACAAACAGCAGCTTGATGTCAGGCATCGGCTACTACACTAATTATTATATAATAGACCTGGAAACTAAGTCACTAGGTAAAGATCCCCAAAAGTGATAGAGCATGTCTATTTTTAATTGTTTTGTTTTATGTTTATGTATGTATGATAGGGGCTGGGGAGGAATGTGGAGGTCAGAGGACAAATCTGGGGACTTAGTTTCCTTCTCCTTTGAGTTCTAGGGATCAAACAAGTCATCAAACTTGTGGGACAAACATTTTTACTCCTATTACTCCCATGTCAGTGCCCCCCCTTTTAGAGGCAGAGTCTCCTGTAGTTCAAAGTGGCATGCAATTTGCTATGTAGACAAAGATGACTTTGAATTACTATTGCAATTCAAATGACTGTTGTAATATACCCTGTCAGGGGCCAGCCTCGACAAAAATACCTTTCTTCCAGAGTGGAGGCATGGGAATTTAGAAATATAGTAAAGAATACTTCCCTATTTCAGGAGCATGAGGGCTGGCAACTAGCCACACCTGGTGACAATAACCTTGAGAGAGCAGAACTCTGATTTACAACCAGGTGGTACAATAATCTCAAACTAAAAACAAGTCCCAAACTGTCTGAGCTTTGACCCCTTTGGGCCTCCACATCCCCCCCCCCCCACGTACTGTGGCTGGGGATATTATTCAGTGATAGAAGACTTGATTATTGGTAGGTCCTGGGTTAGTTTTTCAGCACCAAAGGAAAGAAAGGGACTTAAGGAACAAAAATCTTGCGCCCATCTAAATATCTATCATTGGTTGCTTGGTAAAACAAGCAAACAAATAAACAAACAAACCTGGGTCATGCTGTACTACATAGCAATGAAAACAAGTATGTTACAACTGTTGCCACCAAAATAGCTAGAGAAGTCAGCAGGAGACACTTCAACCACTTAGAGACTGTAGAGGAGGGGCTGGAGAGACAGTTCCGCGGTCAAGGGCAGTGGCTACTCTTCTAGAGGACCCAGGTTCAATTCCCAGCACCCACATGGCAGTCTGTAACTCCACTTCCAGGGAACCCAACACCTGTGGCATAAACACTAATGCACATTTAAAAAAATTTTTTTTCAAAAATGTGAAGGAGAAAAAGAAAAGCTATGAGTAAAGATTCACCTTATGAACAGTTGCTCTCCAGAACACATGAAGAATTCATGTATCTCAGTAGTCATATAACAACATACTTTAGGGAAAAAAATCAAAATGTCTGAATAGATATTTTACCAAAGAAGTCACATACATGAAAAGATGTATGCGAGTGATCTCAGGAAAATAAAAATATATGTATTTACATTGGAGTGTAAAAATATGGACAATTATAATGTTAATTAAAATATAAGATAAAAATGTGGAGGAAAACCAAATTAAGAATGTAACAACATTTATATAAAGCCAAGGCAGATCAGGTAAAAGTACACAACTTATTGTTCAAAAATGCTTACATTTTCCAGGCATGGTGGTAACCCCAACACTTGGGAGTCAGGTAAGAGGATCTCTTTGATTTGGAGATCAGTCAGGGTCACAGAGAGACTCTGCCACAAAAGAAATAAAGCCAAGCAAACGACAAAAAAAAGTTTTATCAAAAGACAGGACAAGCACAAGAGGGATTAATACACCATTCAGGAATATAGCTTTCTCTACAATTAGAGAAAAGACACAGTTTGCTATTTTCCTCAAAGTGATTTTTTTTTTTTTTTTGCCTCTGCCTCCCAAGTGCTGGTATTACCGCCAGTGTTTTTTGTTTGTTTGTATTTTCAAGATAGAGTTTCTCTGTAGCTTTGGAGACTGTTCTGGAACTAGCTCTTATAGACCAGGCTGGCCTTGAACTCACAGAGATTCGTCTGCCTCTGAGTGCTGGGATTAAAGGCATGTGCCTCCACTGCCTGGCTATCTTTCTCAAATTGTACACATAGGTTGTATACATCTTAGTTTTATTTACTTGACATATATGTGTGTATATTTATACATATACATACATACATCATGCATATATAAACATACACACACACATATATGATTTCACACAACCTCCACTATGTGGTTCAAAAGAGAAGTGGGGTATACTGGAGAAAAGGGGTTGAAAGGAATACAAATTTAAAAGAGAGAAGGCATTTCAGAATGAGAAAATAGAATCAGTACAGAGGCCGAAAAGAAGGCAGCAGATGGGAAACAAAGGGGTCATTTTTGTAGCAACCTATGATATTTATATTGGTAGGGAATAAACTCAGTAGAATGTGGGGATTCTTGGGTGCTCTCACAGGAGATGTGTATGCCTCTCACTGTAAACAATAGGGACTTTGTATTAGTAGTCACTGGTTAAGGCAACAAGAAACAATTGTGGCTATCTGAAATAAAGGGGGGAGGTTTGCTTTTATTTGTTTGTTTTTAAAGACAGAGAGAGAAGGGCTAGGGCAAAAGAGAAAGACTGAATAGTTTATTGGATACGTTATATAGTCTACTGATCTGATCAGTCTCGGATTCCAAAAGATCTGGGGATCTCAATGGGATCGACCAGGTCATATAGCTTTTGATTTCAGCTCCGTTCTATTTCAGATGTCAGTTCTCAGGAGTCTGATGGGTCTACAGTTTGTTTTGTTTCCTCTTATGTGATCTGGGATCTGTGTTTGCTGTCATTATAACATGGGAAACACAGATTAGACAATAGTCTACCAAAAAAATAAGGGGACAATGGAGACATACACACTCATGCACGTGCACACGCAGGTAGTATGGGTTCCTCAGTAAATTATAGGATGGTAACTGCAAAACCCAAGAATGACCTCATTCTCATAACTAATCCTGAGATTACACATCTAGACATGTAATAGATCAGTTAAACATAGGATCCGTAGGATTCGTAACCTTCGTGTAGTAACTAACGTTTTCGTTTAGGATGTTCTGAAATTTGTGCCGCAACTCAGATAACAATACCCAAATTGCTACACATTGCCTCTGATATGAAACTCAGATCAGTTAGTTTTTGCAAAAGACAAACTCAACTAGCAGAAAATAAAGATATATAAGAAAATAGCTGGGAGTAATGATGCACACCTGCTGTGAAGGCAGAGGCTCAAGAGTTCAAGGCCTTCCTCAGCTACAGAACGGGCAGGAAGCCAACTAAATGAGACTGTCTCAAACAAAGGCAAACAACGACACTGCGAGATAGGAGACCAGAGGACTAGTCAAGCCACTCGCGCCGCAACCCCCATTCGTACGCTGACTACCAACGCTCCCTATTCTGCGTCCTCAGAAGCCGGGAAAATCTGCTGAGCGACGAAGCCCGGCCACCCGCGCGAGGAAGAACCGCACCTACAGAACCGTAGTTCACAGAGCAAGGGGCAGAGCGGGAATGGCGCACATGCGCACAAGCTCCCGGGTCAACAAAGACGGAGGCGTGCGCGCGCCCGCGCGCGCGCCCCGGAGCCAGATCCCCGAGGACGTGCGCGTGCGCGGCCACCGCAGAGAGGAGCCAGCGGGCCTGAGGACAGAGGAAAAGGAGGGGCGGGTCGGAGCCGCCGGCCGCCTGAGGAGGTGGAGAGGGGGTTGTGCTCCCGGCCAGAGGAGGACACAG